TTCGTTTATTATTTTTTTTTAAAACAACAACTGAAATTGTTATTCGAAGAGAATGTAATCACCTTCCGTTTCAGATTCTGTAATCTCCCAACCATGTTTTCTAATGTCATTGAAGCTCTTGCCGGGTCAATTTGTTCGTTGTCGCACTTATTAGCAAGTTCAGTTACTGCTTGAGAGACATACGACAAATCTTTGTCGAGTTGTTTTTGTGCTGTGCGTGCTGATTTCTTGAGCTGTTCGAGAGGAACCTGAAAAGGGGGGGGGGGGATGTGAGATTAGCGTTAATACTATGTACGACTTGATATATTTATCAGTGTCAATTGTAAGCCAAGGCGTACCTTTACAAACGGTTGTTCGAGAACAAGCAGGCCGTCATGGTTTAATTTATTCATAATGGTACAAAGGTAACTATCCAAAATAAAGGTTTGCTCATGTAATAAATAATACTGCAAAAAAACCTGAACATAAGCCACAAACTTATTGGTTGCATTTAATTACCAAAATTATACGAAGCGAACAAAGGGTTCAGTTATTTGTATTTTCAATCTACTACATATTCTCACTTCTTATATAAAGGGGCGTGTTTGACGAGGTTATTCTTCAAAGATTAAATTTGAGCTTTTGTCCGCCAAGTAATTCATACACTTGCACTTGGAATACCATTTGGTTCCAATCGAAGTTTGCATTGATTTTGACTGTGGAGTTCACTCATACAAGTTATACCATAGTTTGTTGATTCAGATTGGTTTTTATCTTCACAAATTATATTTTTTTTATGACTTGATATGATCTTTCTAAATGCTAAGGAAACCGGTAGTCAACCATATTAATATGGTTATTCATAGTGTTAAAAAAGGCGCGTTCCTGCGTTCTTTAATTTTGACGTTATGGGATTAGTTATGCAGCAAAGGTCTGAACGAGCAGAATAAGCGTCCTTGTACGGAATGTAGACTCACTAGTATTTCACTATACACCCAACACTTTCGTTTTCTGGCTTTCGTGTTAACGTCTCTAGCAAGAAATGCTCATGAAACCTAATATTCCATAAGTAACTTCAATACGTCGCCTATAAGTAGAAATCGCGCTTACTATCTTCTCGATGATTCGTTTCGCCCCAGAATTCTTCAACTGCCTTTGTCTTCGCAATTCTTTCATTTGAGAAATAAAATAGCATGCTTAGCATACAGTATGTGACGAAAAAGTTACTGAAATTTTATATCAAATTAAAATTTATCAATTGAAAGCTTAAACAAACCAGATTTTATTAATTAATTCAATTATCAGTTCTCTCCCATTTGCAATATCTTGTTGATAACAATTTTTTATGGATTTAATATAGTCGCATCAAGAATATTATTCTGCTGTTCTACATCATCCTTCCCCACATTCTATTTAATAACTCCCAGCAGCTTCTTTTGCACTTGGAATAAGTTGAGTCTTTAAAATGTTTACATAAAAGCCCCGTCTGCAATGTTTGTGCAAGACAAAGGTGTCTTGCTTTAAAGAAATTCCACTCTAGGCCATACTTTTCTGGCGTGTCTTTGGTAGGGCCTATTATTATCTTTATGCCATCTTGACACCTTATGCTTAAAAGATCAATTTCTATCTCATTTGTAAATATTGTTTTGTTGCAATTCTTGTTTAAGTGATTGAAGTTGCAACAGGCATGGTATCCCTTTTTTTCATATGCTTCCAGACAGACATATGTGAGCTTGATATATTGTGCTCATGTTTGGCTAATACTAATAGAGCAAGGTGGTCATGGCACCGTTTTGCCACAAAAGTTTGATGTTGAACTTCAAGTCTTGTGCTAACCATAGTTTGAAACACAAAATGGAAAAAGACAAATGAAAGTTTATGGTTCATATGTTGTAAACAAACAAGTATAAATGTAGAAATCGCGTAAACAGACACTTTTGTTGTTTTTTAAACGGAATGATGCCAGTTTAATAGTCTCTTTGTCAAACATATGCGTGCCTCCTCCAAAATTTTATCATTCCATTGACACATAAAAAAATTGTTCTGCTTGGATAAGATGGAGATACACTAGGAATTACATGCCATAAGGTAAGGTAAGGTAAGGTAGGGTAAGATACGCCCTAGCGGTAAAAAGCCCTGAACATTCCATTTACATTTAATAAAACACATTATGCTGTAAGGAATCTTGCCCGTTGAAGCTCAGTAATATGTTTATTCATATTAATATTAGGAAACCGACCAAAAGAGATCAACAGATTTAGCATCTTAATCTGGCTTCTTACTATTTATATTAATGGTTTTTCTCATTTTTTGAAATGTTGCATAACCCCTTTGCCACTACATTACTTGCTTAAATGATTGACATAAAAAGCTGTGCGGCGTAGCCCGCGCCCTCTAATTTTAATTTTTCAATCATTAATACTTCTCGTATTTGACGGAAATATCGTTAATTGCTGATGTTTCTCAATTAAAGCTACAATTACCGTAGACCGTCGAGTAAGATATTTTACATTTACGCTTTTTAAATAGTCGGAAGGTACACATGATAATAATTGACAACCTCATATCGGTTATGTAACACACGCTATAATGCAAACCTGTGATAGTATTGGGGTTTAAAATGATATAAATTTCATTGAAACTTGATCGAAAAATGTGACCAATGTTAGCCAATGCGCAAAATTTGCGTTTGCTAATTACACATTGAGGCTTGTTATAAAACGACAGAAATTTGAACTATTTTACAAAGGAAGCTTCGCAGACTGTTTTTACAAAAATTTATCTAACAAACTTTATCGCAAATTCATTCATCCGGAATTTTCCTTCGTTCTTCCCTTTATTATAAGATCTGCAGAGATTAGCTATGTATTATAATCAGAAAATTGATAAAGTAGTAAATGTATGAAAAAGTTTTTTTAATGTCATTATCGTACTTTAATCTCCTTGCTAATTATTTCCACCGAATCTGAGACTAACAGTCAACGTGACTATCCACGAAAATTCGTGGAACGATTTAATTTGTTACACAAAAAGGATTAAATTCAAAATTTTCATATTTATGAGTTACGCGGTGAAGAAAAAACATTGCTGTTTCTACATTAAAAAAGTTTATCTAAGAAGGATAACCCATGGAAGAAAGCAATTTGATGTTGAATTTCGAAGAAAAGAAAAGAAAATATAGACCATGAAAATGCAAAGATGAGAGTGACCAAAGAATACGTTATACTTACGGTCGTTAGATTTGAGTATTTACTTCCCATGCAATTACTTTGGTACTTTACTATTATTTATGTTTCAAGTGCGTGCATTTATTAAAATAATAAATTATTATTTATACAAATCAAGTTATCTTTTTTATATTGCTCTTTGATTATACTGACATCAAAATGCGCTCAAGCAGCCTATTATCAGCAAGCAAACCAATGACTATAATATATAAGGAATAATCTTTCATTGACAAGTCACTCAATCAGTGGAGGCTTTGCTGACTACTGCTATGTTAAATTCGCTTTTTTTACATTTATTCAAATTTTTGTTTCTTGGTTTATCATAAGTTTAAGTTAAGACCCGTTTATATTTACTGTATATTATTTTTTGTTCTTCTTGATAAATTTTATAAGCAATTTTTTCTTTATATATATACTTCCGGAGAGTTTACGTACCATTAATTTAGAAACATAAGGCGCAAAATTTTTACCTTGAGCTTTCTTTAAGCCTATATGAACGTTACTTCTATAATAATAATAACTGCAAGTAAAACATTTATCTCAACAAGTTTACACATAAATTTGGACACGGGCCACAGCTGTGCTACTGATAGCTAAAATTAGCCACGCAGTAATTTAAATTCATATTTACTTTGTCTGGTTTTGGGCAGCAGGCTCTGTTTACTTTATTCCAGTCGTTGTCAAAAAACTGCAAACAATTTTTACCGAAAATATCCCATTTTTCTTCAAGTATAATAATTATAATGGGATTTTACAACTTTGTGTGAACATAGTAATAGACTGTTACATACCTACAAAAATTTAGGAAAATGTAAATTTTGAAACTATATAGTATAGAGTAATGCGTCAGTTTTACAGCCCTGGAAAAAAATAACGGCGGTACTTATCAAGTGTAATTTGTACGCTATTAAATTGTTATAATGTCACTACACAAGTATCTAGTCGCTTTCACGGCAGTAGAAACAGTTTACATAGAATCAGGAAGTTGATTGCATATGCATTTATATTTAGAAGGATGATACAGAAGCAGCAAAGCATACACCCTCCTACAGATACATTTAGATTTGACATGAGTTTGACTGTAATTTGGTCACACTTACATTGTTTCTGACTCAACAATCGATGAACTTTAACTTAATTCTAAGAACAATCGTGCAAACTTAGATTCACATTTTCTTTGCTAAAATTATATTCATATCTAGATACAATACTAATACACGTCAATGTAATACTGATTAAGATTAGCGACAGAAATAATCGATGCTGTCGGGCATAATTGTAATCACTAATGAAAGGCAAAAGAGAATTATTGAGAGCAATTTAATGCTGGTGGACCTGACGTTGGAGCATATTTAATGGACCAGGTGAAATGGTTATATTATGAATATTTACTGTAACGATAAGAACAGCAACGAGTAAAAGTGTAGTCGCCCACCGAAAAATCAGTAATTCAAACCGTAAATATTGGTTATATAATTCATTTAGGTAGTTCTTTAAATTTTTGACGTTAACATAACAGAAGCTTCATCTTGACAGGGAGTGAGGTATCATGTCGTTGAATCTGGTTGTAGACTCAACTCACTTTTGGTATGCCTTTGTTGCCAATCCCGGAATTGCAATGTATGAGCCGTAGCACAGATTCAACTTGTCAATTGAACGTATGCTGTACGACAATAAAGTGTCGTCGACTATAATAACAAATAGTCATTTTTCTGGTTCTATTATAGACAAATACAATTTTGCGATAGCACAAAACATTCGAGTTTTAAATCTGTATCCATATAATGGAAGATGAAGTTCAACGACTTGTTAGACTCGTCAACGAAGCACATAATGTGGACGATCCAACTAGTCTCAGACTAGTTGCGAAGCGAATTAGTCAGATGCCGGATGAGGTTATAGAATTAATAGAAAAGCTACGCACCGAGAAGTACGTGAATAAGTTTAAACTATGAAGCAGTTATCAGGCACTACAGTATGAAGTTGTTATAAATATGAAGATGTATCGGTATTCATATGAACTGAACAAATTAACATTAATGGTTTCGATCTCAATACTAGGCTAGGATTGGAACAAAATCAATTGGCCGAACTACCTCTAGGAATAACTGCTTGGACACAGTTGAGATATCTGAACATCTCGAACAACCAATTTAAAGTATTTCCTGCTGTAGTAAGTAACATAAAAGCCTATATATGATTTGATCTGTTACAAATTATAACAGGTATAGAAAATCTGACTTCATTATATGATCTTATTTAATTGTTCATGCTTTAGTTATGTGATATGCCAAACCTCGAGATTTTAGACATCAGCAAGAACAGAATAAAAAGCATGCCAAGGAATTTCAATAAATTAATATCATTGAGGGTATGCCATCATGTCTGTCATTATCACGTAACCCATTTTAACATATTTTAGCTAACCACGACGTGACTCCCGATGAAGGCGTTAAAAATATCAAACAATCAACTGAGAAGGTTACCAATATACATAGCAAATATGACAGATTTGGAATATTTGAAAATAGACAACAATCCACTAGTATTTCCACCAAAAACTGTCAGTGTTATGCCAAAAGACGAGAAGGATGCCATGTCTCGATGGTTAACTCAATTGAAACTTTATCTGAGACAGCATGAACAAGGCAGGTTATACAATACATTTAATATTACTCTTGAGTGTACTTATTGCTGAATTCATCTACAATACAAAAACCCAACAGGCTCATCAACGGAGCGATTAGCACAAGAAGCAGCGGAAAGTGAAGAGACCAGTGATGATGAAGTGCTCGATATCGAATACATGTCCAAACAACTTAAGAAGAATATGTCAACTGAATCCCTGTCTCATTTGGTCACATCACGCATTCCTGCCGAACCATCAAATTCTCTTAAGCCAATAGCTGAAACTAACGAAGTAATCTCCAAACAAGAACGCAAACGTGTTTTACCACCAAAGTTATCTATCGAGTCCACTCGTCGCGATCGCAGCTACAGCAACGACAGTTACGAATTTCGACAGCCACTACAGCCGCTGCAGCCACTACAGTCAGTACAACAAACACACCATGCAAAAAGCTACTCTACAGATTCTATTAGCTCATACAACGCTTCGAACGGACAGAATGAAATCGACAGGGGCGGTGATGGATATTTCTTAAAATTGAAAAGTCTTCCACTAACAGAACACTTGCACACAAGTGATATAGCTCTAAGAGAAGCTGGTAGGAACATTTTATACGCACTTTCACAAGTATACAAAGCTCTTCAACAATTTGTCGCATTTACTGGATACGAGAAATTGTTTACGAATAACCTATTCGATACTAAAAAGCGCATGGAACAGCTAATTATTGCTCTAGAACGATTTGACGATTGTGCGATGCATCAACGTCCTGATTCAGAGACCTCTGCCATACTGCTTGAAGCATGTAGCCATAACGTAAACTCATTTAGACTACTGATTAATTGTTTTCAGAAAGAACTGAAAACAGTCACCCAATCTTTGGAACATTTACGTTATTCTCGAACTTTATTATTGATGCTTCACGGATCAATTGCAGAAGTAAAATTTGCCTGGGAGATGATATCACCTCTCCTTACCGATTATACTCCATACACAGGAACAGCACAATTTCGGGCTAGATCAATGTCGCGTTCAAACAGCAGTAGTGGAGGATCATCATACGCGTATCCATACTCTGCGGCGCCGTATTCAGCAGCACCCTACTCGGCAGCGCCATATTCAGCAGCACCCTATTCGGCGGCACCATATTCGGCAGCACCATATTCGGCGGCACCATATTCGGCAACGCCATATTCTGCTGGATTGACACCAGTAGGAATTGGAGCGCACGCGTCGTTCGTTCCTATCACAGATATATTGTTGTCTAAAATCGAAGTGTCAATATCAGCGGTAGAGAAAGTATGGCAGCCATTAAGTGATATAGTTCGAGCAGCAAGATTTGATGATCCATTACCACAACCGTCAGACGTGAAGCCCGCTGTGAAGGAGTTAAATGCACATATTGAGCATAGTAAAGATGTCGCTAGGAAGTTGAAGAAGTTGCAGATTGCAGCAAGGAATGGTAAAGAGGAGCTTGCTACTATACATGAAGATATTGTGGCTTTTCTCCAAGTAAGTATTTTAGTGTATAAACAAGAACTTTATTATGAATCTCAATATGAGCTAGTAGTGAAGCTACGGTTATTTCGAATCACTAACCCGCTTACTTCGAAATTTCTCGTTCTCAAGACAACAATAAAACTGGTTCGCTTGGCCCAAGCAATTTCTCACTCTTGTCCATTTGGTCCTGAACTCCGTGCTTCACTCGCTCAAGTCACTCAATCGAACATTGATCTATCGATCTTTATGCGGACGGTAAATCCATTCAACTCAGCTCAGGAAGCCATTTTGCCTTCTGCAAATGGAGAAGGAGGTCAGAATTACATTGTCAATATGGCCGTAGACGAGATTAATGGTCTGGCCGGGAAAGATGATGCAGCAAACAAGGGAAATGAGGAGACGGAGAGTGAGGAAAACGTTGAATATGCTATCGCAATGTAGTACATATGTATATAAACATCAATGTTACATAGTATTTTGTGCAATTCATATTGCATCTTGCATAATGCAGTAGGTTGAATGGTTATTATTACTTATATTCACTCATCTATACATCTGTTTGGATACATAGATCAAGAATTCAAAGTAGAATTCTACATTTTCTCTCTGTAGATGAAACTGTCACTAGATGTAAATCAATATTTATCCACAATAATGCCGTCAAACCCTTTTTATTCTATTTCTATATTCTATGAAAATATTGCATAATTTATTGCATTAAATTATTGGAGGAAGATTTCTAGGGAATAAAAAAAAAAGTCCCGAATAGGGCAGATCAATATAAAGCGATCGATAAAGGACGACAAACAGAAACGTTGTATTTACCAAATGGCTCAACAAGTTTGTACAGTTCATTGTATCCTTCAAGTTGTTTTGGGTCGATTTCCAAGTTCATCAACTATCGGAACATGACGTTGATAATACGTGAATAAGCTTAAGTCCTTTAATCTCAGCCCTTAACTGACAAATCTTACCTCTTTTCCAAATTGTTTTACATCTAACAAAATCTGCAATCTTATCTTATCCTCATCACTCATTCCAGAGTCATCGCTCATGAACGATGAAAACAACGTATTAGCAGCGTTTGCTTTAGCTGATTTTCCTTTCTTCAGGCGTTTTAATGCCTCTTCAGTTTTTTTTAGCGATGTCAGCAGTTCGCTTGCACGATTGCAATATCTAGCAATGTATGTCAAAAACGGCATGCTAATTAGGCAACTGGCTGTACGATATGCTCAACAATACTCGAATATTCATAGTAACCTCATAGCTACAGCCTCGGCAACAATGAAAATCCCTGTCTTTCTTGTCTTTTCGGTTAATATTGCTTTATTCGTAACCATATATGTAACCAGTGGCTTCATGATATGCGGAACAAAATCACTAGCTTCGGTAGGAGCTTTCTTGTTTGTATGTCTGTATTGTTGGGTAATGCTCCGGACATGATGGAGAATTTCTGAGCATTGCTTTGTCAGTATTGTTGTTATCTGGTTGGTGAGATCGGGAAGAAGAGTATCTCTGAGTGTTATTAAGGGAGACGTTATAGAGTCTGTTGAAAGCGTGGACGGTGAGTTAAGTTAAATATGGAAGATTGTTAGCTGTTAATACTTCGATAACTTACCTTCGATAATAGGTTCATCAATCATTGATGTTGGAAGTTTGAGAAGAATTGTATCGCGATAGAATGATTTGACCTACCATAAAAAGGGACGTGATGTTTAATCGTTTAGCTATCAGAGTGACAGCAGCCTTCATCGAAATCACCAACCTTATCGTGTATATTCTCAATATCGAACGCAACCGCCGTGAGCAATCGTAAGAGCTGTTCATCTGTAGCATCTGCAATTACAGCATTTGATGTGTTGTCCTTGCTATTCTTGTTTGCAATTGCATCATTTAATTCGTTTATCGCATTCAATATCCAGTGTTTATAACGTTGTAACAGCTATCCATATAAACCGGTACGTCAATTCACAATCATATATATCATGAATTAAAGCATTCAGGTAGCCTCAAGTCAAATGGAAATTCGCCTCCTTATTTGTATAGTTACCTGCAGAGTCAATTTCCAAAAGCGATGTGATAAGCCATATATAAAAACATCATCTGCCCAACACCTTTGGATGGCTGCCATGATAGTCCGACTGGCAGGAAATTTGAGTACTGCAGAATTCGAAAAACCTGTCGCACTCAATTCCAACCCTGAACCAAGAACATCCTCAACTTGAATTGAAATCTCTCTGAATCTGTTTACTCATTATTCAATATACACACATAAGTATCATGCATGCGTGACAAACACCCAGTGATGCTGTTTACAATATTTCAATACCAACCTCAACTGAAAGTAAACAGCAAGTTGCCATCTCTTCATATATTCAACATATGAATTATGATTTCTCAGATATAACAAAGATTTCTTCGAAGAGCACATGCTTTCAACACCCGAGACAAAACCCATTGATATTGTGTAATTCTGACATTAAAAATATTAAATGGTCAACAATGTACACAAGCCATATCGCACACACGTCGGAGAAAGAGAGAATAACGTAAACTACCTTGTGAAATGTATTCGGATTTCCGGCATTAAATATTAGGCCCAATTTTTTTAATATTGTGTCCACGACTTCAGTCCACACAGAGTTTACTAGAATCTCATAACTAGCACTCTTGAGAACTTTCTTAGTGATTTCAAGGAGTACATAACAATCATTACTAATAAAACTCAGTATCTTGCTATACATTATAGCAAGGGGCTCTTTTGATGAAAGGAGAACTTTAGCAGCTGGGAAGGATAAACTTGAAGACATAACCGAAGGAGTCGACACAGGTGGATTCTCAAGAAATTGTTTACTGGCTGTCTTAAAGCGGGGATAAATAGTTAAACATTATACAAATTAGTAAGATAAATTCGGTTCCGGAATAAAATAAATAACGTTCTGTTTTTCATTACCTCAGCAACAAATGGAGCCACAAGTTCCTCTCTAATCACCTCTTCAGCTGCTGCTGTCTGGTCTATCAAAGCATAAGTTCTAAGAATCTGGGTTAGCGTATCTCTAGAAGACGCATAATTAGAATTGTTCTTTATGCCTTGTAAAGCCGATCGAAGAGCAGCAGTGAGATTCGTGCGTAGGGTTTCTTTAATTCTTTTAATCCGCTAAACAAAATTATAAGTATAAGTTGGTCTCTGACGTGTTTAAATAAAATCGACAGCATATGAACTTTACCCAGTCAATATTTTCAACGAAGGATAAACCTTGACCTCTATTTACTAAATATTGCATTTGGTTAAACTCTACTGCCACCCTCTCAATCTGCTTCGCGTTGCCTCCACTTATACATACACATGTCAATAAATATCAATAACGAAACTGATCAAGAATAGTCTGCGAATAGATTATAGGGCTAACAAACCTTCCATTGTCCGATAATAAAGATGAACCATTCTCACTGTTAATCAACAAGAGCACCTCAACCTTTCTCACTGATTCATGGATATTGATGAGTAGTTGTAACGCCGCTTTCTTTTCTCTGATTGAGGCTCGAAGTGCTAATTTGCTCTCCAATTCATTCACTACTTGTTGCATCGTCGATCTAACGCCCTAACCAACCGATCTCGTACAGTCAGTGTATATCTACAGGTCACTCACCACACCCAATTCGCCCTTTTTCAGTTTCATTTGCTCACCTGGACTTGCTCTCTCATTTTCACCAATGGACTAGCAATCTCCTCAATAACCTTGTCTACGCCCTTCAAATTCGTCGAGAGGTCGACAAAACTCGAGTAATCTTTGTTGATTAGTTCAACAAGTACGTTCTTTAAACTCTTTAAATGTCCATTCAGTTCACGCTTCAACTCATCGAGGGTTAAATGCCGTCTGTTTGCTAGAAATGTGTCAGCATCGAAATTGTCGATTGCAAACATCTCCCGAGTGAGAGGTGGAGGGAATGGCAAAGGCGTGGTAGGTGGAGTGATAAATTGTTGCTGAATCCATGGTTTTTCACTTAAAGAGGACTGAGAAGCATATATTGAGAGTGACTTTGGCGAAGTCGAAGGATTAGGATTGGAGGAGGAGTCGTTGGAAGAGATCATTATTGATAAGAAAGGTGAAATTGCTGTCTATATGTTGCATACCTGGGTTCGTCGTTTATTGTGGCACAATGCAAAGAATATCTTCAAAGTATGTGACACAAAACGTCGCGTAAATTGCCACAAAGGCTGCAGCAAACATCAGGTTGTACTTTATTGTCAAGGTGTTTGTAAACCAAATATACATCAGTAATTATAAGCCTTTCTTGTTTCGTCTACAGAACAGAATTTATGTAAACCATTTTCCTCCGCAGCAGTCAGAGTTTGGTTCTTGCTCCAAGCATGTCTCTAAATTAAACCAACTCTGTCAGTTTTGAAGGCTGTGTTTTTGTAAATCATTCCGGATTCAAATTGTCATTATCAATTATCTGATGCGAATCTCGCACAAACATACAAAATATTACTGTAAATTTAATTACTATTACTATTAGTATGCAGTTGATTACTATGGTGATACAAAACGCAGCAGTAAGTATAAGGTGCACATCTTCAACCAAGTTCACATCTTCTTACAAACTTTTCCGAAGCCACATGTTATCTTACGTCATCTAAAAAAATAATGGAGTGTTAATGCTTACAGTGTCCAATCAAACGCCGAAATCTGTTCATCAAATAAAACACTCTTCGTTTAATGGTATTGCTATCATTGTGCACGTACCTAACTCGCAGGCACAACTTTGCGCCGTTGTTCACGAAATCATCTTCTTTAGCAATGACTTCTAGTAGCGAACGTCAAAATTCGTCGGATACTTCGCGCATTGTATACGTAACTTGTCCTAATGAAGAGGTGGCAAAGCGATTATCCCGAGGTTGTTTAATTGGTCACGTATTATACAATTAGAGTATTGAATAAAAACATTTATTGCGCATACTTCATTCTTAGGGTTATTAGAGCAAAAACTTGTTGCATGTGTCAATATCATACCAAGTGTAACTTCATTGTATCGTAAGTCCATGCAGGCATGCTGATACATTAGATTCGAACATTTTACTTATGGAATCTGCATGTCTGTCTTGCAGTATGGGAGAATGCAATTGAAGAGTCAACGGAACATCTCATGATGATCAAGACAGAGCAGAAGCATGTGGCGGAACTGACAAACTATGTGAATCAAAATCATGTATATGAAATTCCAGAAGTCATATCTGTGAAGGTAAATAATAAACATCAACGGTGTAGCATACATTATTGTAATGTCAGAGAATGCTATCCATTCTGTATTTTGTTATGGTCGATGACCAATTATGCCGACTTTATGCGCTAAATTCATCGTTCACCTGCTTACGAATGTCTGGTTATAGATTGACGCGGGGAGTGAGAAGTATATCGATTGGATCAGAAAGAGTGTAAAACCTTTATAATAATAAGCCATATCCGCTCTCGCAAATTTATTTGAACAGAGCTCTGCAGTAACCTATGAAAAATTCTTGATAGACAGCGTGCATGGCATCCAAAATAATACATATTCATTTGTATGATACAACTGTACAATCTGCACTGTCATTCGTTCGTATGTGCTTATGCATCTTATTCCGTCTCATATAAGACACTCTTTTTCTCAGTCACGGATCCGTTTTCGTTTCCAAAGTAAGCGATCTGTGCTAAGCGCACAAATAGTCCAACCTCGACGACTCCTGTCAACATCTTAATCTTTCTCATTAAATTATCGGGATCATGGATCAATCCGAAATTTGCATCAATTATGAAATTCCCGTTGTCAGTTATGACTGGACCAGCTTTAGCCATAGCCATTCTTAGTACAGGGTTGTCGCATCCTAACGTTTTCAAC